CTCCTGCCCTTCATCGTCTCAGCGACAAAACCCACGCTAATGGGCGGGGACATAGATAGGAACAATGACCATTTCGTCTTCCCTACTGATGCACCCTTTTTTGGAATGAGTATCACTTTTTTGGCGGGAAAGGTGGTGAAGTGACAAGTGCGCCGCACAGTCGACGAGTGAAATCCAGGGTCGGCTTCAGCTCGGAAGAACCAAGCCTTCTATCCGCTTTAGAAGGAGAGGTGCACCAGTGAAGGTGGTAAATGGTTGACTGTTTCTGCTCCAATTCTCTCCCGTACGAACAGTTAGGCTGTCTTTAGAAACAGAAGACTGCTACTGTTCAGATCTTCATATATTATTACCTAGTTTACATTTAATTACTTTTTGTACACAGATTGAACTCACCAACATACGCTGCCCGATCGGTGACCATGTACTTGTTGTGATTTACACGTGCAAACGGTATTTTTTGTTGCTCCTCCGTCGACGGTACAGTGAATAGTTTCTTAAGAAATAATTTTATACATGTCCCCTTCTCTGACGCTCCAGCCAACGAAATTCGCCCTTTTTAACCAAGCATACTCTAATGAAATTGCAGGAATACAGAACATACCACTGTGATACTTCCTTTGCCCCGTAATGTCTTCGGGAGCCCATCGTTGATGGCGACTAGGCTTCTGAGAAAGGCCAGCTCGGCAGGACGAGAGTGACTTCCATTGGCTGACAAGAAGCTTCACATCTACACCTCGGAAAGCCGCTGAGCGGAAGTGCATCATCGATATCGGGCCAGTAGCTAAACACAACATGTGATTCTATGAGGGTGCAAGAATTACCGTGGACAAAAGTTGCACGAGTTTTGGAGCTGTAACCCCATCCCCCCCTCCCGAGAAAGAGCACGACGCGACCATGTTGTTGTTTAGAAGGTTCAAAATTGGTTCTATATGGACCTGAAAATGAAAGATCTAACCTGTTATTACTTCCCATGTACAACGTTTGGGGAATAAGATCCATAACAGCTACACAGACGCTGCGATGAGCAGACGAAATCAACGTGATAATCGTTTCTAAGTCATGTTCACGACCAACTTGGATTGAATGGTGCCGGCGAACTCTGAAATGAAACATTATAATTTAAAAATAGAATGACCTGAAAAAAAACTTGGCGCAATGCGGTTCGAAAGGGCCCCAAACGGTAGACAGCGCGGCTTGTACAGACTACCTTACGAGGACCTGTAATTTCCATTTGGCCCATTTATACCTCTTCACAGCTTCAGAAGAGTTTGTAGGCCAAAGCAGAACCTGCTAGGTAACATGAACTAACAAGAGGAACTAGGAGAAGTGCTAAATGCCCCTTCCAAGTAGAACCAAGACAAAAAACGTTATCAAGCAAATGCGACCGAATATCGTTCATTGCCATTTCTGGTCGTTGTAGAAGAAAAGTCAGTGGAGTTGGTTCTGAGCATGGCGCCGGTATGGAATCCTGTGGATAGTGCCACCTTGGACATAAATTACCGCTGTGCTCACAACCACACTCCCTCTCCAACTTCTAGATATACGTTGTATATTAGCGAGAACCTTATCAACATTCAACTAATAAAGGAAAATAAAACGTACGGATATGAAAACATCTGTCCCACTGTGCTCCAGTTGAATTTCATAGGCGACTTGATATTGTAAGATGTTTCGAAAGAAGACGGCCATTGATGAGGAATTTTAGCGTCCTTCTGAAGAAGAATCATTCGCTTAAATCCAATCAACAACGCACTTTCATACCTGCCCAAGATGCCAGTACACAGCAAAAATTCGGTTCAAATCAGCAGCCAAACATGGACAATCCTGGATGTATAAACCTAACTCTTTCACCTGAAAAAAAAGACTATAGGCAGGGAGAACGAGAAGGAATGAACGTCGAACCTCCGCCAGTGACTTCCAATCCATATTTGCTGAACCTATATAGACATGGGTAAGATCCACTATGATAAACTTTGTGTGCAGAACACCTGAGCCCATCAACTTTTTAAAATCTAACGTGCGGACCTGAAAAGAAGTTGTTTTTTCAGACTATCGCACAGATCACTTTCTGGGAATATACCTTAGCTAGTCCTTGATCAGCAAGCCATTGGGAATCATGATTGTCTGACAGACCTTTACTGACGTCTTGAGCAATCCGAATCTATAAATGAAACCGTTCAGTCAAACTTGAAGGCACAACCTTCAAAATGGATCTCGCTTCCAATCACGTGGGCATCGCGCTAGCTCTACCTACTTTAGGCAGCGTTCATAGTTCGCGACAGCAGCGGCGATCGCGGCGATCGTCGGTGCATGGCAGCGCGCGCCCCAACGCTATTGTGAATGCTCGCCTGATGAATAAGGGAATTCAACTTGTAAGACCTTCTTTACTCTTAATAAGGGCTACTAACAGACAAACTACGACTTTCTACACATATGCAGGTCTGGAATATGAAGGTATAAGAAGGTTTCACTTCCTTTTTTAGGTCGGGGTAAGACCAACTCCATTTCCTGGGTGAGCTTCTTTTTTTGTTTTTATTGTTTCAATTTATGCATGCGCCTCAGGAATTCCTATCGTCTAAGCTGTTCCAACTTCCAAAACATTCATAGTGTACCAAAAGTCGAGTACAACGAAGAAAAAAAAGAAAACAGAAAGAAACTCTCCTAGGAACCAAAGCGCTAATCATTTTACGCGACATCAACAGGTGAAAACTTCATAAACCTCATGTACAACCTCGACGAATGAAAAAAAGAAGCAATAAAAACCTCAAGTGAAGCTCTCGCGCTTTTTGCTCATTTCTATCCTAAAAGAGAAAATGAAAACAGGAAGCGATTAAGGGCTTGGGCTCGCCTATCCGCTTGTGTCAAGACGCATGCTTGCAGTACTAAGGATAAATTGGCAAGTCAAAGAAGAACAAAGCATAAAATTGAGGACGCTGCACTACCCCAGGAAGCGCTTCGAGGCGCAAAGTAATAAGCGTTGGGGGCGCGCGCCTGGCCATGCCCGAAGCGATCGCCCGCGATCGCTGGCGATTCGGCGACCGATCGCCCTACTTGTTCGCAGAGTATGAACGGCTGCCTTACTCTTGACACGTTTCAAATTACATTGGGGCAGAAATTCCATCAGAGTGGAGTAAGCAATCACTTACACCTCAAGATTGGCACGCTCTTCATCTTCAGTCGCAAATATGGTACGCTTACCGTGTCACATTTTGCCGAAGCCGTCGCCCTTCGAGTCGAAGTACAGTCCTGTTTTCTACGGATGATGGGGCGTGTCAGAGGAAGCTGGGTTTGGTGACGCCAAACCCATCTCCCCTCACACGCCCCAACATACGGGCGAACAGACACCCTTTGTGAGCGAGAATTCTTGCTGGAATTCTTGAAACTGACCCTTTTTGGAACAAAGCAATGAAAATCGATGGTTAGTATAAACAAGTTCCGTGTAGTACTTATTGGGTTCATATCCGGTTACGTTGCTTATTGGAAGCTCAGTCCATACTACGCTCATAATAGGGCGCTCATAATACGGCGGCGTTCATACTTTGCGACATTGAAGAGTCGCGGAATGAGGAGAATCGGAGAGTGCGGGTAAAAGATACGTATCGATCAACCCTGTCCCACTAAAGGATCGCAGAATTGGGGATTCGGAGATCAACTGATAGGTATCCATTCTGTTTTGCAGATTTTCGGATTCCCTCAATCCTCTCTCAGTTTACTCACTCTCCTCAACTCTCCAGTGTCACAATGGATGACAGCAGTCCTGAAAAGCACGAAATTCAGACATAAACCTTACATCAACTCCTCTCCGTCCAGCGTCCACGAGGTCAGAAAAGACCTGTCGTCCATATTCCGCTGTAGGATACTCCGATGAGTTCAAATTCCAGTACAGGGCAGCAATGTGGATAGATTTGTTGGCAGTGTTGAACAAGTCCTGCCAAGCTTGATGTGTGGGTCGGTGAATCGGGCCTCCAGTAAAGTTCAACCCAGTGGGGATGCTCTCAACGTATTCAACCCTGCAAAATATTTTATCTACCGGGATTCCAAGAAACAAGAAGCCCTCTGTAAATCACCTGCACGATTCGCTACATATGTTAGCTTCCGGATGTGAAGCAAATTGCATATTGAAAAATAATACCATAGCATAACAGAACAGCAGAAAAGCGACGATCCAAGCGAATATGCTGACCAGACGCATCCTTCAAGGGAATGAATCACTTACTGTTTACGAAAAGAGGTCCTCCACCTGCATCAATATTTGGACATACCTTCTTCTAATCTCAACTGGTGCAAGGCATTCATCCTGGGTACGTACCTGCAAAAAAAGGTAGGAGTTCTACACTTTACCGCTATCCATCTATTTTATAATATAATCTCTTGGTAATATGCCTGGCTCACACTCTCTGATCATATTTTCTTTTAATGGAGCCCTGTATCAACACATGACACCGTTTCCCTTTCGTATCATCAGCGGAGAAACAGCTACACAAACACTGGCAATGCCGTTCACCAATCGATAACGGCAACCCTTCGATTACAATCTGATACTGTTTGACAAGAACGAGGTGGACTGATACGCAGCCCCGAACCGCTGGCAGAAGTTTTTGAAAGAATTTCAGCCATCAATGTCATATGCAGCGGCAATATTCTCCAACTATAACGTCATTTTTCCACACTGCAAACCTGTTTTATCAAACAGACCAGTTTGGCTGGCGCATACGCTCGTGTGCACTACAGTGTAGTACTCAAAGAATCAAATTCGGTTATGGGACATCAGGTCCTACGGGTACTGCCAAAACCATTCCTTTAGACTTTCTTTTCGCTGGACTGACTTCGAAAATGAAGGGAATATTCATGACTTACGCGCAAACTTGAACAGTCCATTACATCAGTCATTGGACAGCAACATGCCAAGACCGCCCACGCTTGGCCACGTCCCGCGGGAAGGACCACGTGGCTTAGTGACTGCAAACCTACCGCAGGAGTGTTTTTTATAGGCGAGGAGGATGCTATCATAATCAAAACATCATCTCAGATGATACTGTAGCACTGACCGGTTTCTATTTCGGCTAGCAGTCGATTTCTGCTATCATTCTTGCTATCGCGTTCAGAAGTCATTTTCCGCACGGACACACATACATATAGACAGACCGACAGACATACAAACCGACACACTAAGTCAGTGGTTTATAGAATAGAGTGATTGTGGTTTTATAGCCGCTCGGCAGGATGGCGGAAGAAATTCTTCTGGTAAAAATCGTTTTCTATCACAGTAAGTGCTGTTTAACGTGTCAGTTCCCGCTGCGAAAGTTATCATAAGCTGAGTTATGGACAGGTGTCAGACCGGTCAGGAGGGACTAGAAACCCCGTCTCTTACGGACCAAGTGAGTGCGCTATCCGTTATACTATCAGGGCCGCTCTTACATTGTGTAACTTTGGCAGCGCGACTGCGCTGTAACAGCAATTATCATTATAAAAAACAGCATCGAAACTTCTGAAGCCTTTGGTCTAGCAGCACATTGCCGATGTCTAACGACATGGCAGATCGGCTCACCATGGTAAAGGTGTGAGTTCAAGGCTACGGCATGAAAGCCGTCAAGCTGTAACGGTAAGGGTAGCTCTGGTGGCCCGGAAAGCGTGAGGTGCGGATTCGACTCCCGCCCGGGGTTCGACTTTTGCCCATAACTCAGCACTCTTCTTACTATTAGAAAGACTATTTTCCTTTACACTTTTCTGTAGTGGAAGGTGATGCTGCCTTCAAAGCATCGTTTCTGGGGCCAATCAAAGCACCCTCTCTGAGATCAACTCTTCCAACCAGACTTTCTCCCTTAAGTGTGGGTTAATTGATTTCAGTGCCTTCACTTCTTGAGGGAAATGAGGATTCCGACACATTCGAAAAAGCGATTGATCGGCGCCGATCAATACCTACAAGACTGCACTCACTTTTTGCTGTTCTGAACGTTTCGAGGACTAGGAACGTATAGGTGTCAACTTAGCGCTTTGAGCGTATGCCAGCGTTTCCAGCGGAAATGCTCAAAACGCTGCCATACGCTCAAAACGCCGACGCAGTGT